TTGCTTGTAGTGACATATAATTAAAACAGAGGGCTGAACGCGCCCCTGATTGAGCTAACAAGTATACGATATTTACCGATAACAATCGAACGCACCGAAATCCGATACACGGTCTAGTCTACTCCAAACATTGCGGTAACTAACACATAATTCCACTGCCTCAACATCACTCCAAAATCAATTTAGTATACTTTTGGTAAAAATCAATTACCTTATAATTTTACAGTCTGTATCGTGCTTTACATCACCTAGGAAATGTTCAATTGCGAATTACTAAGCGTATTGCTCCTGAACAACAACTCGAGTACGATTAGATCTTACTATATCAGTACCCCCAACAAAGAGACCCCGCGTCAGCTGGTGGATAGTTACCCCCTCAGCTGCTGGTGGACAGACATCACATACAGCGACGTTCATCGGTGACAATGATCTTTTTTTTTGTAAAAATCGATCTATAATTCGTCAGAGTTAATGATACAAACAGGAATATACCTGCGTTGTCACTCGACTGTAGTAAGTATATACATTATTAACTTGATGACGTCGGTCAAAAAACCTATATGTTATATATTTGTCTATTTTTAGGTGCTGTGTGCGTGGGGAAAACTATATTAGGAAGAATTAAAATTGAAATACCAACACAGGTGGAATAGAACGTAAGATGCTATAAATTTTATAAATAACTTCAAATGAAATGGAATTTAAAAAGAAAGATTTTCCTGGAATCTCTTTGAACCACCTCGTGAATTGCGGGCCGGAAATAAATACTAGTAATCAGTCTGCAACAAAATATAAAAGATACAGAGATGAGGGAGCACACAGTTCATTAACAGCTAATAATTTAATTAAGAGTCAAAAATATTATATATCCATTGGATTTCCCCCACAGTATTACGGAGTGTTATATAATGAAATATATGGAAATATATATGTAATGAAAAGTATTCAAGTCCAGAAGTCCTTTAAACAATATAAAATGGGAGCAAAGCAAACACGGACCTCCAAAATTCCAGAAATGGGATCAGGTGCCATGGACGAGTGAGCATCCCTATACTAGATTAACTTAAACTCATCGGTCTGGTCATACTCAAAACTACAAAACAATGTCACATAGTAAAATTCCTTAATATGTAAGTGAAATCATTAAATGTCGGTATTACTTTAAAATGACCACAAAGTTATCATATTTCATCCAATCATATATTTTAAAAAGCAGAAATCAAAAATATCTTAAAACCTTGTAGAGCAGTTTATTATGACGACGTATATGTCTGCATTAATTAAAAATCAAAAACTGGCGTAGATATGATTGCTAAAACAATAGAAGACTCTACAATACAGTAGGATTTTCCTCTTTTGAATGACGAAAACTGCTTTTGCTTACGCACAATAATTTATTTCAGATACTGATTCCAGATTGGTTTAATGCAAAAATAAATCAATTTTAGATCAGTTATGAAACCTAGCTCAAAAATATATCGACACTCAAAAACATTTCCGTGATATTTATTAATGTACGTCCTTATCTCTTAAAAGTTCTAGGGTTCACAACAAGCTTACAACTGACCTGATCTTCATATAGAATTGAAACTATAGGAAATTTGATTTTATACAACTCTTGTAAGAGACTTGCAGAAACCGGTCTTATAACCTCAGAAACGTGAGTTTGATAATGCATAATTTCTAAAATTCGTCATCGTGTACTTTACCAATATTTTGACCATACCCGGTGTAAGCTGAATACATTGTATTTGGCTGTATTCACTATCATAAAATAAATACGCCTTCTCTATTTTTCACGAATTAATATACTTAAAATTTATTTTAAACATGACTTTGTGTCGTAAATGTCTGTTTATTTTTTATCGATATTTAGTAATGCAACTTCATTGTGAAGAGATAATACAGTAGTCCATCGCATGCGCACAAATGGTTACATTTCCTGAAGAGGAGTCAGTTGTGATCGCCGAAAGCCAGTGATAAAAATCACAAACTACAACTAAAGTGGAATGACCAGTGATAAAGACTGTACACAGACATTTTATATAACGTCAAATATTGCACAAGAAATCTAAGGTTAAAAGACAACTAATCTGAGCTTTAAAACATTAAAATTCAGGCTGTATATTTTGTCTTCTGCCAAACCTCAAACAACACGATGATATCGCAAAATCTCGCAAGCATTCCCGATACAAAGAAAATGGACTAAATCTGAGAGCAACGCAGGTAGTAATAACGATCTTGTATGTAAAATAGGTGGTAAATCTCATCGAAAGCCCAGCACCAAAGTAATTATGCGAAAATAAAGTTCTCGCAAATAAAATGTTATTCTCAGTACTCATTAAAAAGAACTTCCCGAATCGATGGTAATTCGGAAAGGGCTCTAAAACTGAAATCAAACTTTGAAAAGTATAAAGGCAATTATATCATATCAGGAAATAGAAGAAAAAAGTAAAATAAAGAGCACAATTGTACATATAAAATTGCCAAAGACATGAAAACTGGTTGAAGACATTTTGAGATTAATTAAGAATCGAAGCCTTATAGTAGCGAAGTTTAATGTTGAAGACGGAAAACTGATGAAACATTTAAATGACCAAAGAAAATAACTGTAAAAGCAAATTAAACATTAAAAAATCATTAAGCATTGATCAAGAAATGAAATTTGAGAGAAAGAAACTTAGACAAAGGCAATGTTTCCAAAATTAATGCAAACTCGTCGTTGAAAGAGTTGTGCAAGTGGTATTTAAATTTAATTTGAAAATTTATTATTTTTTCAGATAAAATGAATAATAAGTGGCAATTCAAAATTCAAGGAAAGCATGACGGGAAAGAAAATCTCAGATCATCAAATATTTTCTTCCATTTTATATGCAAATCAGTAGGTCTTCTCCCTTCCTAATTCAATCATTGTTACATCTTGATACCTATAGGGATAGTAATACCATATAAAAGATTGATTGTATTTCAATCATCATTTACTTAATAGATTGTATCAAAACGTCATGGCAGTGTGTCTTTGAATTTGATTTTACTGCAATTTGTGTTATGATATTTGGCCTTGTGAAATACGTAATAACTTCATCAAATCATAGTTAACAACATATCCAAATGCCTACGATCTTGACCCTTGCAAAAGCCACATGGTTTCGTGTAATTCTATACCTGTAGTCATTCTTTACCAGAGCCCCCCCCCCCCTTGTAATACCTATTGTGGCTCTGCCATCCCCACCCCCTGGGTTATGATATTTACAATTAGGAATCTACACTAACCAAGGATTAAAGTTTTTTCCTACATATTTCTTTGTTAATTTGGATTCCCTATTGTGGTCCCACCCTACCCCAGGGGGTCATGATTTTAAAAATTTGGAATCTTAACTAACCCAGGATGAATTCCAAATTTTCTGGCCAAGTTGTTCCTGAGAAGTTTTCTTAAGATTTTTTTTCTATATATATTTTAATATAAAAATATGGATTTCCTACGTGGTCCCGCCCTACCCCCGGGGGTCATGATGTTTACAATTTAGAAACTACACTACCTAAGAATGCTTTCACATAAGTTTCAGCTTTTCTGGCTAAATGTTTTGGGAAGATTTCTAAGATTTTTCTTATGTACATTTCTATGTAAAACTTCGTATCCTTTTTGTGGCACTGCTCTACCCAAAAAGGTAATTTGTATTAAATTAATACTTTTTCAGGTACATGTAATAAAATCTTGATGTACATATGGAAAATCAAGCTCAAAAGTCAATTAAAACCTAATAAATCGGTAGCGGAGCATATACGGACCTTTAAATCATCAGAGATGAGATCACATGCCATGGAGGGGTAAGCATCCCCTCTGTAGGTAGTATCCAAACAGTGAGTAAAGAGAACCAGGATATTTGTTAGGAGGGTGGGATTTTCTCAGAAGCAGGGGTCTGGGAAGTCACCTTTAGACCCAAAGTAGGTAGCCCTTGTGGAAGTCAATAGAAAAGGTTTTTGTTCTTCTCTTGATTTAATTCAAACTATTCTGTCTTTATCAAAGCTTGCCTGGTTTCAATTAAAACTAAGACTGTTTTTGTAGACCACAAACAAGCTACAACATGTACATGCATTTCTTGCACATTTTTTGTTCATTGAAATCTATCTCTTAAAAATTAGCTGTCATAAATGCTATTCCATGCAAAAAGGTAATATAAACCAAAACGAAAGTAGATGGATTTTTCTTTACTAAATATAGCACCTGGAACTTTTCAGATCTTATCTTTCAACATGGATTCCATTAGAGGCTCACACAATTATTTAATGTAAGTTTTATTGAAGAAATGTATGACGTATAAAATGCTTACATTATGTTATTCAGTTTCTTCTTTTAAGACTTTGATAAATAAATAATAACCTTAGAACGATTGAAACATGCGAAGCATTTTATAAGGTAAATAATAGGATTATGGCACAACACTGACCTCTTAGCCAATTCGGACCTGCTACTGTAACACTTTTTTTTCCTAAAAAAGTTCGATTCCATGTTTATCCCATCTTAGACCTAGGCATTAAGATTTATGGAATTTTACTAGACATAGAGATACATTTCAATTTCAACCTGACTTAGCTATGACTATGTTTTGCTTTTCGGGAGATGAAAATGTTTTAGTTCATATTTTCTCAAACTTTCTGTTTAATTTCGTGTTTTATGTGATGCTATACAAGAATTTCATACAAAATTATAATAAAATTCTTATTTAAATTTATTGAAAATTCGAATTTCTGATGGTGCTTGGTCGACACGTCCTTGTATTTTCAAATTATTTAACTTTATCAGAGTACTTCAGAAAACTGCTTTTTTATTGTATATTTATGAAAAAAAAATTAAATTATAATTCATAAAATTTAGAGTAGGAATGATGTAGATATTTCTAAACACTCTTAAAATCTGCAGGTATAAGCCTATTTCTTTGGAATATACATAAGTGTTTTTCTGATGATTACTATAGTGATTTTGTTTTTATTTTTACCAGTAAGAGATTAATACAACACATATCAGAGTCAGTGTTTGTGGGACTATGTCGTAAAGTTGGAACCTCACAATTGGTGGCCATGAGGAGAGAAATGATGGACATCAAGGATATGGTGGAAAATCAAGTGTCAAGGGATGACAAAAGTGTGATTTTGAGTGGAAGTTTCAGAGAAGGATTCAGACTGAAAGGATCAGATATAGACTATATGGTTTGGCCAAATAATCACCGTGTGATCTGGGAATTATCTCAGTCTCAATGTTACAACACACACAGACAAACACTGATCCTCTGTGACTGTTCTGATAGTCCACCCGGATTTACTTTGTTATATTTACTGTCACCAAGCATGGACAGAGGTGTCCAGAGAGCTTGCGTTATAATGTATAATAGACAATGTATATCTAGTTCTAAATTCATTCAGATCGTGTGTTCTGCATCAAGTAAGTCGACTCGGCATGGACCTTGTGCAAGTGGAACAATCAGTAAACTAGAATATGATCAGGCCATCTGTTTTGTTTGTGACTTTTGGCCTCCATGTGCCTCCTCATGGATAGACAGATGTCACTCTTGGCCCCCGCTACATTTTGTTGATGATATAGTAAACAATGGATGTCACTTTGTAGCGATCGGACATAAGCTAGGGTGTCATGAAGACCTGGAATGGAGAATTTCTTTTTCTCTAGCAGAGCAAAAACTTGTGTATGCAATGAACCACTGTCAGTTCTTATCATACGGCCTACTAAAATTGTTCTTAACAGAAATAATTAACAATGGAGTAGGTGATGATGATAAATTACTGTGCTCCTATCACATGAAGACAGCAGTTTTCTGGGTGATTCAACAAAACACAGTATTGCGCTGGTGTCCACAAAATCTCCTGGGGTGTTTCTGGGTCTGTTTTAAACTCATCCTCAAATGGGTGTATGAGGGGGTCTGTCCTAACTTTTTCATTCCAGATAACAACATGTTTCTGAGTAAAATTCATGGTGTCAAGCAACATCAGCTATTTACTAGATTGCATGGGTTGTATGAGAAGGGTTTAGCATTTCTGTTATACATTCCTACCATCCGGTCTTGTATTATAAATGTCCTACATAACCCCAGACTCTCTATCTGTACAGATGAACATACTCTGATTTCTGAGGCTGAGTTTGATAAAAACCTATGTATTGAAATACAGGCACATGAAGTACTACAAAATTTAAACATACACAGTTATATGAGATCTCTACAAACAATAGAACAGATGATAGGTTCACCCCTCCTGACACAGAATCAAAACTTAATGCTTCAGAGTCTTACAGCTTTTGTCCTTCGGAGCACTGCTTTTATATTACACATGGAAACTTGCACACATAAAAACAAACTGAGGTATTTAGCTGACAAAATCTCCCGTCACATGCTGAAATTAGCAGCCAAGTTTGGTTGCTTTACTGACATGTTGTACATAGCCATGTATTATTACAAGACACTTAGATACATTGAAGCTTTATCTATTATAGAGATGATCGAGGTCAAGTTAGCACAGCCATATGTGATTTATAGGTATATTGTAGATACAGAGATGTATACTGAGGCTGTAGGGGGACAGTCCTGGTCTACAAAGATGAGACAGGCTGTAGCGATGGATATCAGACTACAAAATGAAATCCTTTATATCAGTGAATTGATACCAGAACAAAAGTTTTCTCTAGAGAATGGATACAGTATGTTATATATCCCATCCTATATACTGTTGTACATGCTAGAGATTTTGTGCTACATACATGTAGACACGATGAGAGTAAAAACAGCTCTAGATGATCTACAGACCCTAGTTCATTATGATCAGGGACAGCTTATACCTTTAATAGACAGAGGCATATCATGGCAGATTCTGGGGATCTGTCAACAGGTGACAGGAAACCTCCAGGCTGCTCTATACTCATACCAACAATCTCTCAGGCAAGTACCATACAACCATATACAAACAGCGACACATATGAGAATGGAGCAGGGAGGGTTCCCTCTATAAGATCACTTTATTAGTAAAATGCATGACATACATCTATGAAAAATTACCTGATAGGGTTAATGTCCATCTATTTCTCTTTTTATTGTTTCTGATTTATTCTTTAATTTAAAAACCGAGGTCCATGGGTATTAATCAATCAATGAGTTTCCTTGGCTCTGCTGCTCTTCAGCAGATTTGTGGAAACAATTATGACATCTTTATTCCAATGAAAATGGTTGGTCTTATATTGTTTTGATAACAAATTCTGCTGTCCAAAACATGGATATTTTGTAACATTATTGTTTAATGTGAGACTTTGAATTTTTCCCGGTAAACAAATCTAGGCTTTAAAATGTAACTTGAAATTATTTCCAACTTTAGTCCTTTTGTGCACAATACAGAAATAAATGAATTTTATTATTCTTATAAATGAATTTCAGTGTTACTTTTAAGAAGAATCTGCTTTAGAAAATAAGGGAGTAATTTTCACTAATTTCACCTAATTTCATCAGTCATCAAGGCAGTTAATATAAGTTTAATTTTCAATGAAATGAAGAAGAAATGTCATCTTTATACCTTACAATATTTGTTTCTATACAAATTTACGCAAAAAAGCCTAACATTTCTAATGTTTTGCTGAGCGGGGATAAGAAATAGACTTTTGCCCATTTAGTGAGATGTTGGACCAGTCGGTGAAATCATAGACCGCATTCGTTGGTGTTCAACAGTGACGGACCTGATGTTACATCGCGGAAGACAGTACAAAATACATGTATGTCAAACAAATAAATTGAAAGGTATAACAAAATATTTATTGACTGAGTTCTCAGACAAAATATGTTTTGTCAATCCTCGAACAAAACTCTTTGGCTTCGGCCTAACGGCCTCGGGTAGACAGTTGTGTTCTTGGGTCTGATGAAACGCAAGTTGCCCTCAAACTCAGTCAATGTATCATATTAAAAACAGAGCTGTTCAAATAACCAGAACAGGTTATTAAGGTCAGAAGTATTTGTCTGAAGTTACTCTGTTATTCCTCACTCTCTGCAGCCTTCTACATGTATATATTTTATTATGCACTACTGTTAGATAAATAAGACTCAAGATGTGGACCAGTTAACTGAAGCATATTTTCCATTTCATAAAACATTGTTCTGCATAATTTGACAAGAGGCCAAGGGGCAACGTCGCACACCTGAGCAACTAGCTACTAAAAGTAAAAATCGATAGAGTATTGAAGTTATGATATAAAAGTGGGTTCAGGGGAGGTGGGGAGGCTCTTACAGAACAATGATCGTTTTTCGAAATGGCGCAGTTCCATCGCGTTCACGCAAATGGTAACATTTCCTGAAGATGAGTCGGTTGTGATCGCCGAAAGCCAGTGATGAAAATCCCAAACTACAACTAAAGTGGAATGACCAGCGATAAAGACTATACACAGAGATTTTATATAACGTAAGATATTGCACAAGAAATCTGAGGTAAACAGACAACTAATCCGGCCTTTAAAATATTATAATCCAGGTTGAATATATTGTCTTCTACTAAACCCCAAACAACGCGACGATATCGCAAAATCTTGCAGGCATTTCCAATACAAAGAAAATGGAGTAAATCTGAGAGCGACACAGGTAGAAATAATGATCTTGTTTGTAAAATAGGTGGTAAAAACCCCAGCATCAAAGTAATTATGCGAAAATAAAGTTCTCGCAAATAAAATTTTCAGCACTCATTAAAAAGAACTCCGGAATCGATGGTCATTCCTCAAGGGGCTCTTAAACTGTAATCAAACTTTTAAAAATACAAAGGTTACTATGTCATAACAGGAAATACAAGAAGTAAAATAAAGAGTGCAATTGTACAAATAAAACTGAAAAAGACATGAAAACTGGTTGAAGACATTTTGAGATTAAAGATCGAAGCCTTGTAGTAGCGAAGTTTAAAGTAGCTGCAGATCGTTAGCTCTCCGAAAAAACAATATTGATAGACCGGAGAGCTACAGTGGCACCCATTGAAAAATCTGTATATTTATTGCGCACAAAAAAGTGCGCTCGGTTCTCAATTTATTTCTACATGTTTTTTAAACTGTAATCTCAAAATATTCCTAACATATTCTTTCGCTGATTCCACAACCAAACATTTCTCATAATTGTTGTTAATAGTCCTCCTGACCCTGATATTGTAATCATCGAACATTTCGCTTATTAGTCCCTTACCGGTGAAACCGGCGGGACTATAGGTTTCCTCTGCGTCCGTCCGTCTGTCTGTCTGTCCCAATCAGTCTGTCCCACTTGGTTTTCCGCACTTTTTTCTAAACGCTTACAGATATTGAGCTGAATTTTGGTATGTGAGTGATACTTAATGAGTTACAGATCAAGTTTGAATTTTGCATCGCTTCATTGATTTTTGACAGAATTATGGCATTTTGAATATTTTTCATAATCGCTAAATTAAGTTTGGGTTTGAATTGCGCTAACTTCCGATTGTCGACAAAAATAAGAAGCGAGGAAAGGACGGTGAAGAAATGAGTTAAATTTTTGTCTTTATGTGGATTATTTTATTAGTTTTAAGGCATTTACAACTTGAAAATCTTTCAGTTTTACCTTGGACATGACTTTTGCTTATTATAAAATGACATCCTGAAGAAAAAGGGGAACCCGGTAGGGGACATGTATTGCTTATGCAATACTCTCAGAATGCTTGTTTATACTGCCAGTTTGGTTTTAAAAGATAATTCGGTCCAATATGCTTCTTTCAGATGTCAACTACGAGAGGACTTGATTTGAAATCTTTCCTAATTTTCAATTGAGGAAAGAATTTGGAGGAAATAATCTAGAACCGAGCGCACTTTTTTGTGCGCAATAAATTTACAGTTTTTACAACGGGTGGCACTGTAGCTCTCCGGTCTATCAATATATTTTTTTCGGAGAGCTAAAGATCTGCAGCTTAGTTTAATGTTGAAAACGGAAACCTGATAAAACATTCAAATGACCAAAGAAAATAACTTTTAAAGTAAATAAAACATTAAAAAGTCATTCAGCGAAGGTTTATTGATCCAGATATGAAATTGGAGAGGAAGAAACTTAGACAAAGGCCATTTTTCAAAATTAAAGCAAATTTGTCGTCGAAAGAATTGTGCACAGCGGTATCTAAATTTAATTTGAAAATTTGTTATTTTTCAGTTAAAATGAATGATAAGTGGAAATTCAAAATTCAAGGAAAGCATCACGGGAAAGAAAATCTCAGAAGATCATCAAATATGTTCTTCCATTTTATATACAAATCAGGAGGCCCCTCCTTTCCTTATTCAATCATTGAACATTACATCTTGATACCTAAAGGGATAGTAATACCATACAAAAGATTGATTGTATGTCAATCATCATTTACTGAATAGATTGTATCAAAACTTCATGGCAGTGTGTCTTTGAATTTGATATTTGGCCTTGTGAAATAATAACTTCATCAAATCATAGTTAACAACATATCTAAATGCCTATGATCTTGACCTTTGCAAGAGCCACATGGTTTCGTGTAAATCTATACCTGCAGTCCACTTCGATTCAGGTCTTTGTTGCTTTTAGCGTAAGCCTGGGGCAGAACAAACATCATAAACAAGAAATATATGGTGATAACGAACAGTACTCAGGATCAAAAAGTCCATTTAAACAATACAAAATAGGAGCAGAGCAAACACAGACTTCCAAAACATCAGAGGTGGGATCAGGTGCCATGGAGGAGAATGTATCCCCTGCCGAGCGGTCACACCCGCCGTGTGCTCCTTATCAATGTCAGGAAATAACGAGAATTTCCGTCGTCGTCATTGTATCGACCATACGGCATAGAACTTACAAATAAATTGACACTTTTTTGAGGGTGGATAATTACTGTAAAAGCAGAAAATTTCGTTGGGAATCAAATTTCGAGTATATTTGAGCAAAATGACAAAAATGATGGCCAAAACTTACAAATTCTGTAGAAATACAACTAAAGTCATAACAAAGACAAGAATCCTATGGCCTCACCTATGTAGCTTGCGTGATGTCATTCTTTACCGGACCCCCCCCCCCCCTTGTAATACCTATTGTGACTCTGCCACCCAACCCCCTGGGTTATGATTTTTCAATTAGGAATCTACACTAACCAAGGGTGCCTCCACATAAGTTTCACCTTCTTCTCTGGACAATTGGTTCTTGAGAAGAAGATTTCTTAAGTTTTTTCATACATATTTCTTTGTTAAAATTGGATTCCCTATTGTGGTCCCACCATATCCTAGGGGTTCATGATTTTAAAAATTTAGAATCTTAATTACCCCAGGCCCAGTGGTTCTTGAGAATTTTTTTTAAAGATTTTTTTTTTCTATTTATTCATTTCAATGTAAAATATGGATTCTCTCTTGTGGCCCCGCCCTACCACCGGGGGTCATGATGTTTACAATTTAGAATCTACACTACCCAAGAATGCTTCGACACGAGTTTCAGCTTTTCTGGCTTATGATTTTTGAGAAGATTTCTAAGATTTTTTTTCGATATACATTTCTATGTAAAATTTCATATCCTTATTGAGGCACTGCTCTACCCGAAGGGGTAATTTGTATTAAATTAATACCTTTTTAGGTACATGTAATAAAATCTTGATGTACAAATGGAAAATCAAGCTCAAAATTCAATTAAAACCTAATAAATTGGTAGGAGAGCAAATACGGACCTCTAAAACATCAGAGATGAGATCACGTGCCATGGAGGGGTAAGCATCCCCTCAATAGGTAGTATCCAGAAAGTTGGTTGAAAAGAACCAGGATATTTGTTCGGAATGCGGGATTTTTTCACAAGCAGGGGTCTGGGAGGTTGCCTTTAGGCCCAAATTAAAGTAGGTAGCCCTAGTGCAGGTCCATAGAAAAGTTTTTTCCTCTCTTGTTTTAATTTAAGTATTTAATCTATTCTACCTTTATCAAAGCTTAACAGGTTTCATTTAAAACTATGACTGTTTTTGTAGACCACAAACAAAATATTATATGTGCATGCATTTCCTACGTATTTTTTGTTCATTGAAATTTATCTCTTAAGGTTCATTGATACTCCGATAAGAGATATAATTCTTAACACTTATTTTTTTATTATTCCTTTATGGATTTGCCAAGTTGGTGTCTTTTTTGCCCAATTTTCCCCGCAAGCTATGCTATAATTCTTTTATTTTATTAAAAGACACATTTTTTGGAAAATCATTAAGGCTCAAGCAACATTTTATATGAGTGAGCAGGGAGTTTATGAACCTTAAATATTAGCTGTCATAAATGCCATTCACTGATTTTATCTTCAATGATACAAAAAGGTAATATAAATCAAAACGAAAGTAGACGGATTTTTTTCTTCTAAATATTTCACCTGGAACTTTTCAGATTTATCTTTTAACATGGACTCCATTAGAGGTTCTCAAAATTATTTAATGTAAGTTTTAATGACGAATGTATGACTTATAAAAATGCTTATATCATGTTAATCAGTTTCTTTTAGGACTTTGATAAATAGATATTAACCTTAGAACGATTGAAACATGCCAAGCATTTTATAAGGTAAATAATAGTGCTATGGCACAGCACTGACCTCTTAGCCAATTTGGACCTGCTATTTTGACATTTATTTTCCTTGAAAAGGTTCGATTCCATGTGTATCCCATCATAGACCTAGGCATTAAGAATTAAGACTACAGTATACATGGAGATACATTTCAATTTCAGCATGACTATGCTATGACTATGTTTTGCTTTTCTGGAGATGAGAATATTTTGGTTCATATTTTCTCAACTTTCTATATAATTTCATGACTTATGGGATGCTATATAAGCATTTCATACAAAAGTTTTTAATAAAATTCTTATTTAAAGTTATTGACAATGCGAATTGTTAATGGTGTTTGATCGACACATCCTTGTACTTTCAAAATATCTCATTTTAACTTTATCAGAATACTTCAGATAACAGCTATTTTATTGTATATTTATGAAAAAATATTAAAACTTTAATTCAGAAAATTTGAGTAGGAATTATGGAGATATTTCTAAACATTCTTAAAATCTGCAGGTATGAGGTTATTTTTTTTTTTGGAATATGAATAAATGTTTTTCTGATGAATACGATATTGATTTTTTTTATTTTACCAGTAAGAGAGCCATACAACAGATATCAGAGTCAGTGTTTGTGGGACTGTGTCGTAAAGTGGGGACCTCACAAGTGGTGGCCATGAGGAGAGATGTGATGGACATCAGTGAGATAGTGGAAAATCAAGTGACAAAAAGTGATGAAGACAGTGTGATGGTGAGTGGAAGTCAAAGAGAAGGATTCAGACTAGAAAGTTCAGATGTAGACTTTATGTTTTGGCCAAATAATCACCGTGTGATCTGGGACTTATCTCAGTCTCAATATTACAACACACGCAGACAAACACTGATCCTCTGTGACTGTTCTAATAGTCCACCAGGATACACTTTGTTATATTTACTGTCACCAAGCATGGATAGAGGAATCCAGAGAGCTTGCAATATAATGTATAATAGACAATACATATCTAGTTCTAATTACATACAGGTGATGTGTTCTGCATTAATAAGCAAGATGAGTCGGCATGGACCTTGTGCAAGTGGGACAATCAGAACAATAGAATATGATACTGCCCACTGTTTTGTATGTGACTTTTGGCCGCCATCTGCCTCCTCATGGATAGACAGATGTCACTCTTGGCCCCCACCTTATTTTGTGGATAACATAATTAAAAAAGGATGTCACTTTGTAGCTATCGGGCATAAGCTAGGATGTCATGAAGACCTTGAATGGAGAATTTCTTTTTCTCTAGCAGAGCAAATACTTGTGTATGCAATGAACCATTGTCAGTTCTTAACATACGGCCTACTAAAATTGTTCTTAACAGAAATATTCAACAATGGAGTAGGTGATGAAGATAAATTACTGTGTTCCTATCACATGAAGACGGCAGTTTTCTGGGTGATTCAACAAAATACAATACCTCACTGGTGTCCACAAAATCTCTTGGAGTGTTTCTGGGTCTGTTTTAAACTCATCCTCAAATGGGTGTATGAGGGGGTCTGTCCCAACTTTTTCATTCCAGATAACAACATGTTTCTGAGTAAAATTCATGGAAAAAAACAATATGAATTATTTATGAGACTGCATGGGTTGTATGAAAAGGGTCTAACATTCCTGCTACACAGTCCGACCATCCGGCCTTATATTATAAATGTCCTTCATAACCCCAGACTCTCCATCTGTACAGATGAACATACTCTGATTTCTGAGGCTGAGTTTGATAACAACCTATACAGTGAAATACAGGCACATGAAGCACTACACAAATTAAACATACATAGTTATATGAGATCTCTAGAAACAAAACAACAGATGATAGGTTTACCCTTCCTGACACAGTATCAAAACTTACTGATTCAGAGTCGTACAGTTTATGTCCTTCGGAGCATTGCTTTTATATTTCACATGGAAACATACACACATAAAAACAAACTGAGGTATAGAGCTGATAAAAATTCCTGTCACATGCTGAAATTAGCAACCAAATTTGGTTGTATTACTGATATGCTGTTCATAGCCATGTATTATTACAAGACACTTAGATACATGGAGGCTTTATCTATTATAGAGATGATAAAGGTCAAGTTAGCAAAGCCATATGTGATGTATATGTTACATGTAGATAAAGAGATGTATAATAAGGCTGTAGGAGGACGGTCCTGGTCTACAAAGATGAGACAGACTGTAGCAAGGAATATCACTCTTGACAATGAAATCCATTATATCAGTGAATTGATACCAGAACAACAGTCTGCTCTACAGAATGAGGAGGCCACCTTATATGTCCCACCCTTTATACTGTTATACATGTTAGAGATTTTGTGCTACAGACATGTAGACACAATGAGAGTACAAACAGCTCTAGATGATCTACAAACCCTAGTTCAATATGATCAGGGACAGCTTATACCTTTACCTTACAGAGACATATCGTGGCAGATTCTGGGGATCTGTCAGCAGGTGACAGGGAACCTCCAGGCTGCTCTATACTCATACCAACAATCTCTCAGACAAGATCCATTCAACTGCATACAAACAGCTACACAAATGAGAATAGAACAGGCAGGATCACTTAATTAGTAAAATAAATACCAAACACTTGTGAAAAATTACCTGACAGTGTTTACATTCTTGTATTTCTCATTTAATTGTCTCTGATTTATTCTTTGATTTAAAATACGAGGTCGTTGGATATCATTGAGTTTCCTTTGCCTAGCTGCTGCTTTTCAGCAGATTTGTTTAAACATTTATCCCATCTTTATTCCAATGAAAATGGTTGTTCTTATACTATGTTAAAAACCAATTCTGTTACCTAAAACATGGAGATGTTGCAATGTCACCGTTTAATGTCAAGCCTTGATGTATTATAGAGATCTTTTGAATTTTTTCCCATTAGACAAATCTGGGCTTTAAAATTTGACTCAAAGTTATGTCTAACTTTAGTTTTATTGTCTATAAGTCAGAAATAAATGAATTTATTATTGTTATAAATGAATTTCAGTGTTTCTTTTAAGAAAAAATCTGCTTTGGAAAATTAGGGAATAATTTTCACTAATTTCACCTTTTGCATCAGTCATCAAGGCAGTTAAAATAAGTTTAATTTTCAATGAAATGAAGAAGAAATATCGTCGTTATACCTTTATTTTTTTTTTAATACAAATTTCTGCGATAAAAGTCTAACATTTCTAATATTTTGATGAGCGGGCATGAGAGATCGATCTTTGACTACTGAGTGAGATGTTGGACCAGTCGTTGGGATGTTTACGTCACAGAATGGGTGGAACTTCATCTCATTTCCATTCGTTGGTGACGGACCTGATGAAATCGACAGTACAAAATACATGTATGTCCAACAAATAAAAACGAAAGGTATAACAAAACATTTATTTCTCAGACAAAATGCGTTTTTTCGACCCTCGAACCAAACTGTCTGCCTTCGGCCTAACGGCTTCAGACAGACAGTTTGGTTCTTGGGTCCGACGAAACGCAAGTTGCCCTCAAATTCAGTCAATAAATGTATCTTATTTAGGAGGCAGGGGGGTCAACAAATTAACTTCTGGAGAGGACTTATATAGGCTGCGTGATGTCCAATCCAATAACTGTATGTAATCTTACTTACATAATAAAATATTGCTTAAATTATTTAACAAATTAACCTCAAATTAACCATCAGATCATTTGGCAAAGAAAAAAAAAATCATACATTTTAGTTTTAAAATTTGATAATTTTTGTATATCTTTAGATGGAGCTCTTCTTTTAAAGGAGATCAAAATAGTTTGAAAATGCTGCCACCCCCAGCCTCTTTAAAAAAAAGAGTTGGTCAAATGACCAGAACAGGTTCTCAAGGTTAGAAGTATTTGCCTGAAGTTAATCTCACTGTTAACCCTAACTATCTGCCTTCAATAATTTTATTGTTCAGTTTACCGTCCACCATCTGCCCCCTCCTGCTGGGTAGATGATTTTGTCCAAGAGTTACAGTGCGCTACCTGCTGTGACGACCAGGAAGTGATTATTGCAGGTGATCTCAATATTGATATGCTTAAAGAACCCCCGCGGAGTTGGTCATCTGCAATTGTAGACTTTGGATTAACACAATTAATTAACACCCCAACAAGAATTACTAATAGCTCTAAAACTCTTATTGACCATTTCTACACTACGCACCCTGCTAACATATGTGAAATAGCAGTACCCCCTGTAATGATGTCTGATCATTATCCTATATGTGCCACACGAAGATCTAACAGCATGCAACGAAAAGGCAAACATATTGAAATACAATACCGTGACTTCAAAAATTTTAATGAAACAAACTTTTTGCATGATTTAAACAATGCAAATTTTGATGAATTAATTCTACTGCATGATCCCAATGACATTTTAAACGGTTTTTATGATATTTTCAATGCTATAATCAATAAGCATGCAAAAGTAAAAACAAAGCGTGTGAAATCAGAATTCCGCACTAAATGGTTAACTCCAGAAATAAATAATGCTAGGAATTTTCGAGATCAATTTCATAAACAGGGAGACATGGATAATTTTAGACTTTGGAGGAACAAAGTCACATCTTTAATAAATAATGCAAAATCTACATATTATAAGGAAGTAATTGAAAATAGTTCTACTTCAAAGGAAATGTGGGGCCACTTAAATCAGTTAGCCTCGAAATCAGACAAAAACTCGTCTCCTTCCAATATAACATATAACGGTTTAGATCTTGATAATCTACAAGATATTGCAAATGCATTTAATGAGCATTTTGCCCAAATTCCAAAAAAATTAATAGATAATCTTTCGTTTTCTGCTTTTAAATCAGAAAAATTGAAAAGATACACGGAGACAAAACTTGGAGATCAAGACTTTTTTGAAATCCCTTTGATTAATGAAGAAAAGGTATTCGAAATGTTAAAAAGACTTGATGTAAACAAATCTGCTGGTATAGACTTTCTTGGACCTAGATTGCTTAAACTGTCAGCTAGTATAATATCCAAACCTCTAACACACTTAATAAATTCTAGCATAATCAATGGATCTTTTCCTTCACAGTTAAAGGTCGCAAAAGTAACTCCCTTGTTTAAAAAGGGCGATAAATCAGACCCAGGAAACTATCGTCCAATCTCGATTTTACCAACGATATCGAAAGTTTTAGAGAAGCATGTAGCAGAAAATATACGCATCTTTACTTCTCACTTTGACTTGCTAATGAAAGCACAATCTGGATTTCGAGAACTTCACTCATGCCAGACAGCTCTCACAAAACTAACTGATGATTGGTTGCATGCAATAGATAAAGGAAATGTTGTAGGTATTACATATCTGGATTTTAGCAAAGCATTTGATCTTGTTAATCATGATATACTAATTAAAAAACTTGAATGCTATCACTTTGATCCAATATCAATTAAATGGTTTAAATCATACTTATATAATCGAACTCAAAGTGTTAAAATTGGTGCGTACACATCTGAATCACTGCCAGTCACAGCAGGTGTGCCTCAGGGCTCTATTTTAGGTCCTTTGTTGTTTCTATTGTATATTAATGATTTACCATTGTCTGTTGAACATTGTAATATTGATATGTTTGCTGATGACACTACAATGCATCTTCATGATAATAGTATTTCGCGTATTGAAACCACTCTTAATCATGAACTCTGTCAAATACAAAAATGGTGTCAACAAAATCAGATGATTATAAATACTGATAAAACAAAGTGTATGTTAATGGGAACACACCAAAAGAAATCTAAATTAGAAAACGTTGATTTTCATTTACAACTTTCCGATCATCCCCTTGAAAATGTAGAAATGCAAAAATTATTAGGTGTTCACATTGATCATAATCTTCAATATACTTGTCATGTAGATGCAGTTTGCAAAACTCTTACATATAAATTATTTACTTTACGAAAAATCAAAAAGTTTCTTCCAATGCGTACTAGAAACTATTTTATAATGCTTTTATCCTTCCATCGATTTTATATTGTCTATCCATTTGGGGCAATTGTCCTCAAACACACATGGACAGAATCTACAGATTACAAAAAAAAGCAGCTAGGATTATTTTAAATGAAAAATATGATACACCTTCAATGCCTTTATCTAGCACTTTAGGTTGGCTAACAGTTTATGAACTTTTATATTTACAGAAAAGCATTTTAATGTACAAAATATTTCATGGAATGTCTCCTGATTATATGCATAATCTTTTTGAATTTCAAAGTTCTGGATCATACACTTTACGCTCAGAAACAAATTCCGAACTTCGACTACCAAAATATAAAACAAACTTATTTAAAAATTCTTTACAATATTCAGGGGTTATTATCTGGAATGAGTTACCAATTAATATCAGAAATTCTCAATCCCCTGCAATATTTAAAAGAAGTGTTGAACATTTTCTGCTTATAAAACGCAATGATTCTGTGTGATTTTTTTTTCTTTCTCTCTATACTGAAATGCTGATGTTTTTATTTGTTTGTAACATACTGGTTGATTTTTTATTGTCTAATAATTGAAATTTTATCTATTGTATATATGCATTGTATATGTGTTTTTTAAAGAAGGCCCCGAGGAAGACTAGTGTTCGCACTAATCGGGTTACCTTCTCTAAATAAAGTATTATTATTATTATTATTATTATTATTATAATGCACTACTGTTAGATGAAGGATATGGAGATAAAGAAACAGTATACAATCTCAAAGTCCATAAAACAATACAAAATAAGAGCAGAGCAAACACGGACTCCCGAAACATCAGAGGTGGGATCAGGTGCCATGGAGGAGTGAGCATCCCCTGCCGACCTGTCACCCCCTGCTGTGTGCTCCTTGTCATGATCAGTAAAATAACGGAAAAAATCCGTCGTCAATTCAGTATATAAATAATAGACAAACAATTGGTATAAAAAACGTCAATCAGCATTTGACTCAATGATAAACTGTATTTGCTGACAAGGTCATTGTATCGACCATAGAACTTACGAAATGATGACTTTAAACGAGACTGCTGATATTCTTGTTTCGTCAATTTGCTTGTCAATAATTTACCTCGTTTTAGAAATTGTTAATACGCAGAGCATGCTCTTGCGTATTGCATCAACTGAGATATATATACTCCGTTTGCAGGTGATATATATAAGACACCGTAGAGATAAGACGTGCTTCAAGTTGCTCCTGATTTTACCTGATATACCTATACAGTTTTTAATGCGCCTTAATTGTTTTTGATTTGGATTATGATTCCTGTGTTAAAAATACAGTGTAATAAATCAAATGATGGATGAAAGCTCAGGTTCAAGCTTTTTCAGACCAATTTTGGATTCTTTTTCTGAATTCACAAATCCAATAAATGACAGTCAGGATAAACTACAAATTAATGTGGACTTACCCAGCTTCCTAAAGGTAACCACCAACAAAAGGAGCATTACTGTGAGTGTTGACCAGGTAAAATATGACACCATTTTCTCATATCTTGAACAGGAACTAACTTTTGAAAAAACTACAAGAGGAGATGGCCATATTTTTAAAACTAATTGTAGATCGGTTACGGCTACAATATACAGAAGCACCTCAGT